AATTTTCGTTCATTTTATAAACAAATTTAAGGTGAATTTTGTCAAGAAATGCCAAAAAAAAAAATACAAAAAAATCAGTTTTAATCATCAAAACATTTCAAAACACCAAAAAAAATATGCCCTTGGATCAAAATCCTAGCCCTAAAAATTATTACTAAAAGTTAAGATAAATAATATCGTAGCTCGAAAAATCGTACTCAATCGTTTGATTTTAAAGTACAAAACATTGTTTCTTTGATCTGCCGACAATCGTTCTCAATTGTGTTGCTAAAAAGATAAAACGTTCTCAATCGTACAACACCATCCCGAATGCATCAACTACATTCAAATTTCTTTCAAAACAGATGATTATGCTAAAAATCGGAACATTTTTACCTCCACAAATATTAATGACAGAAAAAAAACACACATCATTGTAAAAACAATATATTAATTCGCTACGCTCAAAATCCAATATTGACCTTAATTGTTATACACATTTGTATATATACCTATGAAAATTATAAAAGTACCTAAGGTTATTAGTTATTACAATATATTATTAAATGAATAAATTAACACTTTTTACAATAATAATAATACGTAAATATTTATTACGAATTGTTGTTTGCTTACTTAACTCAATAACATTGTTTTTATTAAAATATTCATCACTATTTTAATAGATGTAATACAAATAATGGTTATGGCTAGTGAATTATGAAAATAAATATACAATTATTACTTATATTAATAAAACATTTTCAAGTTTGTTCGGATGTCAAATAATATAAACTTATGCCTGAGTGAAGTTAAAACCAATTATTGATTAAAAATAATGTTTAAAAAAAAAAAAAAAAATAATTCACTCTAATTTAATAGAATATTGCTAGATATTTAATTACTAAAATGTTATGTATAGTTAATATTATTTACACGAAAAAAATATTAATATTTTGTACTTATACTGAATAAAGTAAGGTAATTTATTGCACTAAAGTTTTTAAAATTATATTTAACCATAGAGATTATGTTCTAAATTCTTATAAGAAAATTGCCTTTAAAAAGATATATTATTACATACAATTATTTAAAATACAAACATTGAAACATCATTAAAA